TGTTTGGAATAGACATGTTCGTTAATGTATTGCCTATGTGTTAAGTGTGTCAACTATCGATTTGTTAATGTTTGCTCTCTTGTTACGAGATGTTATTGAGAAGGAACCTCTAAGCAAGTAGGTTATTTGATTCCTTAACCGAGCGACTGTGCGCTTATTGAGTGCGTGAGAACCATAAACGAATATCTCCGATTCCCTAACTCTCCAACCATTGTCTGAATTCCGTGAATTTGAAGTGTGTTTTGCTTATTTTAAGAATTCGTAGTTGCTAATTGAAACCATATCTTTTGGATTAGAGTGTTTAGGAAATTAAATTCTCTGTTTGTGATTGAATATACGTACAAGATAATCCGACTAACCTTCCTTGAGATACGACCCGGGGATTGAATCTTTTGGTTTAACTCCGGTAAAAATAATTACAACAAAATGGCGCCGTTGCCGGGGAAGGTTTAGGACATATTTTGTGCGCTTATTCATCTTATTTTTCGTGTTTCTCTTTGGTTTTGTGTTTTTCTTATTTTTGGTGTTTCTTTTTCTTGTTTTATTTTCTTTTCTTTACTATTGGTGCTCGTAACTTGTTTGTTGCCTGAGTGTATGCGTACCAGGAGTGGACGTAAACTATGTCCAATTAACAAACCCTTCAACGAGAGCCTGAGAGAGCTGCTGGACGAGCTTACTCTCGAGCCACACGAAGAATGCGAGCATTCACCAGAATCATCTGAGGGGAGTAACTTAGACATGGCTGCACAACAACCGCCTCGCAACATCCTCAGAGACTTGGCCCAACCCATAATCGGGCCAATCACTTCATGCATCCGATTGCCACAAGAAGCCCGAAACTATGAGCTGAAGATGATCCACTACAACCAGATACCATCTTTCCATGGTCTTCCAAATGAGGATCCACTCCACTTCCTCCGGGAGTTTTACAATGTCCTCCAGACGTTCCCTCTTCACGGACTGACCGAGGACCAGCTGAAGATGCGATGCTTCCGGAAGACTCTGAAGGACCGGGCCAAGGCCTGGCTCATGACTCTCACACCGGATTCTCTCACGACTTGGGCCGAAGTCTACTCGAAATTTGTCGGGAAATATTATTCCCATCAGAAGACCCAAGACATCCGGTCCCAGATAGTCTCTTTTGCTCAACTGTCAAACGAGCCTCTTCATGAGGTCTGGGAGCGATTCAAGGACCTCCAACGGCAGTGCCCACATCACAACCTCGCTCCAGGGCTCTTAGCGAATTGTTTCTACGACTCCCTCCACCAGAACCTGCAGTTTATGGTGGATAACGCAGCCGGAGGGGATATTGGGGCCAAAACAGCTGAAGAGATGATTGAGATCTACGAGACGATGAGTGCCAATTCGTCTCAGAAAAGTATCAGAGGGAAGAGGTCCTCAGTGAATGAGGTCGGATCGGAAAACAACGTCATGGCCCAGCAGTTAGCCGAGCTCACGGAGCAGATGCGGCTACTAAACGCAAGAGGAGCTTCACCGGTTCAGACTATGGCTGTGAATGTGTGCGGAGCCTGCGGAATCCAGGGGCACAGCTCTGAGGTGTGCCCGTCGGCTATCGAGCCGAATTACGGAGGGCATAATGTTGAGGTTAACGCGTTGCAGGGGTATCAGAACTGGCCCGGAAACGACCCCTACTCGAACACGTACAATCCTGGGTGGAGAAACCACCCAAGCTTCTCCTGGTCTAACAACAACTCCCAGCAGCTGCCTCAACCTAACTTTGTTCCCCATCAGCAGCAACACAGGGGACAAATGTTAAGGTTGCCAGCACCAGAAGCCGGACCGAGCCCGACAAACTCAGATGAGAAGCTGGATAAGATCCTCCAGTTTTTGGCCGACAACAAGCAACGAACCATGAACAACGAGGCTTCCATTAAGTGCCTCGAGACGCAAGTGGGACAGTTAGCCACACGGGTCGGGACCATCGCGACTGAACTAAATAAAGGGAAGCTACCAAGCCAGCCGGAGCATGCAAATGCAGTAACCGTGATTATGCCCGAAGAGGTGAAAGAAGAAAAAGAGGGCCCGAATGAGCGAGGGAGGACAGAAGAAGCTCCAGTGACACCACCACCCGAGCCTACTTTACACAGATCCCCGAACCCTTACTGACCGAAGATTCCTTTCCCGAGCCGACTCTTGGAGGAGAAGGACCGCACTATGATTCGAGACCTTCATGCGATGTTGGCCAAGGCCAATGTCGACTTATCTCCTCCCGATGTGTTGAAGAAAGTTTCGGCTTATGCACGATTCTTCAAGGAAGTGGCCACGAACAAGAAAAGGTTTAAGAATGGTGAGGAGGTGATTATCTGTGAGGCGGCGAGTGTCTTCCAACATGACTTGCCGAAGAAAGAAAATGATCCCGGAGGCTTTGTGATCACTATGGCCTTCGGGAATGGAGAAGAGACATCGGGATTGCTTGATCTTGGAGCAGGAATCAACCTCATGCCACTTGCAGTTTACCACCGACTCGGGCTAGAAAACTTGAAGTCCACCGGCCTGCGCCTACAGCTAGCTGATCGCTCATACCGTCGACCAGAAGGGATTGTGGAGGATGTGCTAGTACGAGTAGGAAAGTTGATAGTCCCCGTGGACTTCGTAGTGCTCGATGTGGGGAACGTGGAAGAAAAAGGGAAACAACACGCCATCCTCCTCGGGCGACCTTTCATGGCGACCACCGGAACTGTTATTGATGTGAGGAAGGGGACGGCGACCATGGTATTCATGGTATTCACCACAAAATTGTCTCTTAATTTTCAATAGAATCACCATTTGATATTCACGACAAATAGCTAATGATACAAAACCATTAGAATCAAAAGCCTTCCTGAATGTTGAGGAAAGGCTTTTTATATACAAGGAAGGATGTTTGGATACAAAACATCTCAAAAATTCTAAATATTTTTAATCCAACTATTTTTTTTAACTCAACTTTACTATCATCAATATTATCAATATAATTAAATATATCAATCATTCATTTTTACACACCACATTAATTTTAATTCATTATTCATCTACTCACATAATGTTAACTAACTATCACTTCAAATCTTTTTTCTTCTACTTTTACATTAAATCAAATTTAATTATTTTATATTAAATATTATTTTAATATACTCACTAACTACTAATCATACAACCTTTTTCAAAATTAACCAAACCAAACAAAAAAAATCCAAACAAAATAAAAAAATTTATATCCAAGATAAAATTAATTCTCAGTCAAAAATAAGTCGCAATTTATCAAAATAAATTTATTTAACAATTAACACCATACAAAATTCTTCCCATATCAACTTCTGCACCATAAAATCATAGGAGTACTAAAGAATTAATTAATTAATTAATGTATAATACTCCGGAAATAGTTCTTTACTAACTTTTTTTTCATTCACCAAACCAATCAATTTCATCACAATTGTAATCATCCCATGAAGGCTCGTGTTCATCAGTAGCTATCCTGATTATTTCTAGTCTCTACAAAGGGCTGGGCCAATAATTTATTCGTGGCACAATCTCCGTTGGATGAGCTGGCCATCGAACAGGTGGCATCCGCCTCATTCTGTGGCGGCTGTGGTGGCTTGCCGCCTCGGGTGGTGGCCGCCGGCCCAATGGTCTCAGACACTTTGAATTTTTGTATATTCAGCAGGCTGAATATACATAAGGAAGAGCCGGAATTCATGACTACAGATTATTTAGATCTTGCTTAAAAGATGGACTCAATTTCACATATCATGAGCTAGCTAGCTAGCTAGAATGGTTCTATCTAAAATGGTTTTTCTAGTTTTTTGTGCATGCAACAAGGACTTTAGGGTTTTTAGACTAGGCAAGAGCTAGGGTGTGATTGGATATAAATCATGACCAAATTCTTTTCAATCATAACTCAAATATAACTAAACCCCAACTCTTCCCTATGTTATCAATATAATTAGTTAATATCAATCAATTATTATCACAGATTACATAATTTTTAATTCATTATTCATCTACTCACATATTTTAACTACTCATCGCTTACAGTCACATCTCTTTTAGTTTTACATCAAAACAATTTTAGTAATTTTATTTTAAATTTTATTTATACAAACTCAAAATCTCACTCAAATCTAATATAACTAACTTTTTCAAATTTAACTATGGTTAACCAAACAATATATCCAATCACACCCTAAATAATTAGCAAAAAATATGATTGGATATTGATTTGATTTAGTTTTGATTGATTTTTTTTGTTAACTATAGTTAATTTTGATATAATTAATAGTTAGTGAGATTTTGAGTTTATATTAAAATAATATAATTAAAGTTAATTTGATGTAAAAGTATGAGAGAGGTAATGCGAAGTGATGGTTAGTTAAAATTATGTGAGTGAATGAATAATAAATTTAAGTTGATGTCACGTATAAAAATGATTAATTGGTATTATTTAATTATATTGATAATATTGAGGAGAGTAAAATTCGTTGCAGCAGGACGAACAAAAACTGGGTTAAAGTTAAGTTAATAAAAATAATTGAGTTGAAAATAATTGATCTTTATAAAGTTGAATCCTTATCCTACCTAATGAACCACCCCGAACATGGGTATTTAGAATATCGATTGCAAACTATCAATTGTGCAACAAATCCAGCTAATTGGTGCAGAAATCTAAGGATCGGTCAGTGATCTAGTCGTCTTTACTACTCACGTTGTCTAAACAGTGGATTAACTGTTATTTAATGTATCAAAACCTTTTTTTTTTTTTTTTTCCAAATTTAATGTATCAAAACTGAAGTTGGACAACTTGACAGAACAAAATTGGACAAATTATCAAGATAAAGAGACCAAAATTAAAATTTCATTGCTACATTAAACATGCCACAAGATAGCTCATAAATTTTTAATTTCCATTACGATTGTGTATAAGAAGAAAACAAAAAATATTCACTCTAATTTAATTTCCATTACTATCAAGGACCACAAATTTTTTTTCTGGTCGTAAATCATAAATGTGGTACCTGAGGAGCTGCACTAGATGATGATGATGATGATGAAGGTGCTGCAGCTCGAACAGACTTGTACTCGATCATTTTCCACATGGTTTTCTTCCCATACGGTGCTCGCCCAACGTAAAAAACCATGCTCCTTTTCCGACCAATCACACGATTGTTCTGGGAAGAGTACACGTCACCAGGGCAGCCCGTTGCTTTCCAGTAGCCTTGGGCCGTGAGCCTGTTGGGCCTTCCTCCACGGGCTTCCCTTTTGGGCCTTGGATTGAAAAAGAACCACTGCTCCCCGTCCTCAGGAATGTAATCTCCACCGAATTCTGATTCATTTTTCACCATCACCAACATTAATTAATCGAAACAAAAATTACAAATTGTAACACGATTAAAATGTACATAGCTAAAGAAATTAAATATATATATATATATATGTAAGAGTTGAATAATATAACTAATGCGAAATATACTCGGGAGATCGGATGGATGATGATCATAAATATCGAGAACTGGAATAATGTTGTTGATCTCAGGCTTAATGTTGTTAAGCTTATGCTGCAAATAGAAAGAAACCAATCCATCCTCAGTAGGGTGAAACCCAAAACCTGTTGGTAATAAATTTTCACCATCCATCTTGGTAAATATGCAGTATTTTACTGCTCTTTATATGTCTCAAAACACAAGCACGTTTGTGTATATCAGTATATGGACATAAGTTAGATATACGTTTGTGAGGAGAATTTAAGTGATTGGTTGATTGTTAAGGATATTTCCACGCGGGTACATGGAAAATATGTACATTTGTGTTCCTATGGTGTGTTCCCATGTAATATATGTTTATTTTCTCCAAACATGTGGGCGCGAGTATTATTAATGTAACTTTTTTAAATCTCTGAACTTGGAATAGAAGAGCATCTCTAATATTTTGAGATGTACGCCTGGTGTAAGAGAAAGAAAAATAATAAATCATTATTTGTGGAATAATTTGGTACAGGTAAGATAATAGTTGTTTGGAGAAGATAAAAAATAAAATAAATAATATACCGTGTAATTCGATGTAGTTTAATTCCGTTCGATTTGGTTATTTTAATGTGAAATTTTTTTGGTTCCGCTTCTATTCGATTTTTTCCTACACTGTTGTGCGGTTGGTTATCATTTTTCATAAGTTTGATTTTCAGTTTTGTTCGACTCGGTATGATTTTGCATAGAATTGCACCAAGTTTATAAATGTATAGAATAACCTAGGCAAAACAAAAAAACGAGTCAAACCATACATATTGGTGTAGTTCGGATAAGTTATTTTAGTGTAATATACTTTAAATTTTTCCACGTGCAGTTCAATTTTTTATTTTTTTAGGTAGATTTGTTTTTATGGTTTGGTGCGATTTTTCACGGAACTGCATTGTTGCTCACTCCTAAAGGTTTGAGCAGAGCCAACAATTTAAATATTATTTTGTACTGGCGGTTGGTTGGGTATGAAAAAAAAAAAAAAGAAAAAAAAAAAGAATTTCACTTGCATACTGACTTCATCCGTGGAAAGACAATTGATGACAATTACTACAACTATTTATAATTAGTGATGTAGATAGTCAAGCTGCACATTGGTGGGGTAAAGTCGATGAGGGCGAGGAAGATTGTCGTCCAGTCCACGACTCGAGCTGCTGATTATAAGACCTTGCAATAGTTGGTTTTGTAGAAAGTTTTTGTTTTGTTTCATTTTGCTTATTTACATTGTAATTTTCCATTATACTCTGAGGTTGATTATGGGTGGATCTTGGTTCACATAGTAAGTTGTACTTTGATTCAAAAATGACGTTATTTTATCATTTAGGTCAATGACTAACTTAATGTCGTGTTTACCTTCAATTTATAACTTTTTCGAAAAATGACTTGTATATTCTGCAAGGTCCTAAAAACCGGACCGGTCATCGAACCGATCAAGTTACTGTTTCAGTGGTTTATTGGTCCGACCAGTAGTTGAACCGGTTGGATCGGTATTTAATTTATTAATATTTTTAAACATATATATATATATATAAATTAAATATGTAGCAAATTTAAAACATTCAAATACTTAAACTAACTAATAATAACTTATATATATTGTATTTAATTATGCATTTTTTATTTATATTAGAAATATTTTTAAATATATTCAAAAAACTAGAAAAAAACTAGACTGATGTTCTAAAAATGTATGTAAGTCCATGAACCACTGTGAAAAACTGATTAAAGATTTTTTTTTTTTTAGTAGAATAAGAATGTATAGAATATTTGGATGTGAGAGAGATGATGCTTTGTGTTTAGATGAGCATCCAATGTGGGAAAACTCAACCTTATTTGCGTATGCCCTTATAACGATTGTTTTCACCGTTGCTTTTCGAGCATGACACATCATCACCTTGTGATGGCAGTCACACATTAAATTGCAACAGAAATATTCTTGAACAGTGTAACAACTTTTGTCTGGGACAGGAAGTGTGTTGTTTGGGGCACTTCTTCAAAAGTCTCAAGTGGACTTGTGGATAATCGACTTCCCAAAAGTCTATCACTTTGATTCTCTAAATAGCTCACAAGAGAAGTAAGTTATATCTACGAAAGTCCATTTCAAACAAATCAACCTAACATACATTCGTGTGGAAATGTGATCTTTCAAGTCCAAAAATCTTGTGTTTTAATTTGATCTTACTTTTGCGCCTTCAGCGTACTGAACCATTTTAAATCTGCTTTTAGTACACATTCATGTCCTTCCTGAACAATAATAATAATCGATCTAAAATTAAAAATAAATAAAAGTTGATGGACAAGTTCTTAGGATTCACCCCTACAATAAAACAGTACATAAGACCACCACTCCACCATCAAAACGAGGTAAAGGCCATGCAACCCAGTCAGCCGTACAAAGACATCATATATCCTAAATCCAAATCATAATCCACACAAAAATATATAAAATAAAACAAAAAGGACCTTCCAGCTTCAGTGACATCAATGCTTACCAAGCGTCCGATTCTTAAACTTGATTTTGATCTTATGAGAAGGAGCACTCGGTGGATTGGGATTCGGATTCTGATTCAGATTCAGATTCAGATTCAGATTCAGATTCGCATTCACCTCACCATCTACTTTGTTCACAACCGAATTCAGTGGCCCACTCGTCTGCTTATTTACATCGCCACCATTTTTTTCAACAGCCACATCCGATTTACTTGGCTCATTCAGCACAACATCCGCCTTACCCATCTCTCTCGATGGAGAAGCAGCCGGCTCAGGTACTGTAGACTTCGTTTCTTCTTGCCCAGCACCGGCCACTCCCCTCTCGCCACCTGGCAATTCAGCTACAGGAGGCACGGAAGCACCCGGTTTGGCCGCCAGCAGCTTCGCCAATTCCTTCTCCTTGCGCTTCTTTTCCTTCTTCAGCCGCTTCCTTTCAATCCTCTCCGGATCCTCATCATGTCCATTCCTTTTCCGCTTCTTTTCCTTATCCTTTTTCTTCTTCTCCTTGTCCCTTTTCTCCCTTTTACCATCATCATATGCACTCGTCTGTGGGCAAGGGTCGATTTTGCTCGAGTCCGCAGTGCATTGGAGTTCCCGCACGAGCTGCTCTTCGCCGTCGGCCGCTGGCTTAGCAGCGCTGCCTATGCTGGCGGCGGTAACTCTCGAACCGACATCCTGGCACGAGTTAACGTCCTCCAAATTTTGGTTATTGTTGTTAACGTTAGTATTATTATGTGGAGCATCAACTGAGACTGAACTGCTAGGCCCGAGATCAGCCTCATGGGGCCCGCCACTCTGAGCGTTCATGGCTCTGGAGCTTTCGGGCCCTTCAAGGGGGCGAACTGTTGGGCCGGACTGTTTGACCCTTATTATTTTGAGCTTCGGCTTCTTTTCAGGTTCGTTAGCTGGTTTTTCAGTGGCCAAATTTTTGGGGGCATTGTCAGAAAAGACTGGTCCGATTTCTTGATGGAGGGGTAATAGAGGGTCGTCTGCTTTTGGGGGAGGCTGGGGGTCTATGCTAGCATCTTGGAAGGAGTCTGTGATTTGGTTGACTGGTTTTTCAGGTGTGATATTTTGAATTTCTTCAGTAGAGTATATAACTGGGTTATTGTTTTGTACCGGGGTCTCTTCAGGAGGAGCGTGTGGTGATTGTTGAGCGTGGATAATTAGTGGCATGTCATCTGCTGGGTGTTGAGCGGGCGGAACAACTGACACGTCGGGCGCAGGAGTAGTTGTTACTGCATAAGTTGAATCGTGATTTTCGGGATTAGTGTTCATTTCCGAGTAATTTTCCGGAACCAAGAGGTTGTGAGGAAGATCGGGTGGACAAGAAGGCTCGGCTGGAGCTTTTGATTGGTTGATGAGAGCAGCAAAAATGTTTTTGAGTTCGCTGCACGTTTTCAAGTGCCCCATCCTTAGAGTCTCGTCTCTTGGGACCCCATAAAGTGTTGGAGACCTGCATGTGGAAGACTCGTTGAGTATGAAGTCAATATTAAATAGTTAAATAATAATAATAATAAAGAAAAAATATGCAATTAATAAGCAAGAATATACCTTCTAGCAAGAACTTGCAAGATGCAGAAAATGTAGTGCCGAAGGGTAACATTGTTGAAAGCCAGTGGGCTCTCGAGCAAGCGCAAGAGAGTTACAAGAGTGTCGCTTGTAACTTCACTGTCACAATCTGATTGATTAGACATCTGCGATAATCGCAAGGCACAGATACCCAATTTGGTTTGTCCTGGAAAAGAATATCAAACCGTCAGAAATCATAGCACACTAAAAGGCTTGAAAATGATACTAAAGTAACCGGCATTAAGGCAAGTGATTCCTCCATTCCGTTCCACGAAGATGGGTTGATTGTATTTATGTCGTTATTTAACTACATAGCTATCAACGAAATCCAGTAAAATAAAAATGTAATAATTGTTTAACTTAATGGCTGTTTTAGCAAAATACTCTAAATCTTTACTTTACTGACAACATTGATTGATGTTTCATTAAGGAATCCATCTTCATAATATTTTGATCAACCTCGTAGAGAGGCCTCCTCATTAAGGTATCTGATGAATAATGTGAGTGCTGCATCAGTTCCTTTGCGCTGAAACTCGAGTTCAAGAAGAGCTCTGCTTGCAGCAATTCGGATTCGCCACGTCTTTGACGTTCTATATGGTTTAATAAGCTCAATGACACGATCCTGGACAGGTATAAGCACATGCCACATCAGAAATGATAATTTGGGCACAAAGGAGAATTAGCAGGTATATAAACTTACAAGAGGAATGAACTCTGATAGTTTGAGTGCCATTTGGGTCAGTGACTGGATGCAACTGATTGTCAAAATTCCATTGTGGCTTGGCATTAACCTGTTGTTATTTACAATATTAGATATAAAGATTTCACGAGAACAGATATTTTTTGGAAGCCAACCCCAGTCAATAATATAAAAAACCAGACTGCTGGACAAACCGGTTACTTCATCAGTTCAGGGTTCAAACAGTTGGATTGGTTAAGCAAGCAGTCCAACTGATTCTAATATAAATATATTTCTTTATTGTACAATTAAAAATTAACGTGCCATATTAGGATACACTATAAAGGATGAGATTGTATTTATTTCACTGTATTAGTCACTATAATTTTAATAACTATCATGTCATGTTTGTCTTACAGACTGAAAAACAAATAAGAATTATCATCACATAAGATTCAACTTTACTCAAAATAAAATAGGGTTACACAATATAATAAACATTATATCTGATAATATTTTTTATAAGAAGGGAGAAAAACAATTAAAATGATTTTTTTAATGAAAATTCTGTTCTTCCTAGTTTCAACTGTTCAAACTGGCCTCATGGTTTAATTGGTAGTCCTGACCAGGCCCAGTTTTTAATCATTGCAACCAGTAAACTAAGAGGTACCTGTCGAATTGCAAAAGACGATCAAGTCGTTTCAGAAGGGATGGTAAGTAGGTGATGCTCTGCCACAAGATCAAGCAGTGGAAGAATGTTAGGCTATGAAAATAGACATTGTTCGGGCTTTCGGGATTAAGTCAAGTATAATACGAGTTTATTATCAAGATAGAAACAATCAAGTCCACAATTGGATAAGAAACCAGATGAGTTTCAATCTTTAAATATTCAGAGTTGAATAAGGCAAAGATAAGTGCACAATTCATAGTTCATCACAAGTCAATCGACAACATGATCTCTTTTAGCTGCTTTAGCATCGAATCATACAAGACAATGGTGTCAACATTGTCACAACCAATGTTTCTGAGTGTGATCTATTTGATTAATAATTGTGGTCATGCCAACTGAGAAGAGTACACGGGTTTAACACATACTACCCAAACCAAACCCTCATAATATTTTTCAGTTAAAAAGTAAATAATGAAAGTCGACAATTAACTAAGTTGGTAACAACATGTTTAACCTGAAATAGCAGAACTTATGCGATGACATATCCAGATTTTATGACCACATACTCATCCAATTTAAAGGTGTTCAAAGGTGAGAAATGCTAAGAAAGTCCAAAAATAGGATATTATAAGCATTCTCTTTAAAAGGCAATGAAAGAATAGACTTGGAGTAAAATCAGTAACAAGTAACGCTATCACCAAGTTGTATCAAATACCTGCTGTCCAAATTCAAGTTCACCAACCGACTGAACTAATGCAGCTACCCAAAAAACATCCGAGTATGCATTCCCACTGTTATCATTGTACTGCAAACATCATATCAAAAATTAAGAGTCCAGATGTTACATCGTTGTAACCAGTACAAGAAAAAAGATGCAGCGGTAAATTAATTTGGGGAACATAAATGGCCGCACTCCACAGTGCTTCCAGTAGAATGTAAACTTTTCTGTTTTAAGTAATGAACAGAGTTTAGAGCCAGTTTGTGATTAAATATCCACAAGTTCATAATCAATTTTACACAGTTCAAGTCTTGCCGCACGAGGGGAACAGCTGTATATTTGGAAATTGAGCCAATGTAAGAATAAACAGTGTTTTTAACCAAAATGAGTTCCAAGAGTGATCAACAGTTCAACACTATAAGCCCAAAAAATGGCTGCATTGTATTTCAGTATATGTTCCTCTAAGAACAAGTAATGTTTCACATTTTACAGTGGACTAGTATTAATGTTGTCTTCAATGAAAATTTGATTACCCGGCATTCAAAAACCCATACTTCAATTTCTCGATGAGCATTAAACAAAAAATATATACCTTCAGGAGTTGTAATATAAATTCAACACCTTCTCTAGGGCTTTTCTTATCCGTAGATCTAACCATAGACACAGCATGTGGGATTGCCTGAATACAAAAAGGGAAAAGAAAAATGGTTAAAGAAAAAATCCAGTAAGAATAGTAGAAGAGAAGTAACATTGGCATGACCCCCAAACAAAATGTTCTCTGCTCTATTTATAGCACCGTGGATGACTCATTGTAACTGTTTTTTCCCAATTAGTTATTAACATTAAACAATTTTCTCAACAGAACATTTAAACAATTTATCTACCCCAATAAACCACATTCTGATATAAAAGCTTATGAACCCGACAAAGTAGATATTTGAAGGAGCTTCGTGTTAATTAGAAACTATAACTGTTATCTAAGGCCAGGGGAATTTGTTTTTGCAGTTGGAATAATGTACAACAGGAAGAGCTGGTTCAATTTTGAAGGTTAAGAGAAAGCCAGCAACGAGAGGTGGACTAACCAGGTAATAGGTACAAGAAATGAGACAGAACAACAAGGAACAACATATTCCACCATCAAGAGGAACATTTGAGGCTCAAACGACTTGGGAGAATCATCAATTACTGGTGAAGTAATTCCACTAAACCATCAAACATTGTAGAAGAAAGAGATTGCTGAGTGGTAAAATAGTATGACGGAATACAATTTACTTGCTTATGAAAAATAGGAAAGCACATTACGAGAAAATAAATGTAAGGGCCGTGTACGCAAAAGGTCAACAAGAACAAAAAAATGCATATGCTATTGCATTCAAATATCACATCCTACCTCCATGCATTACCTCAAGTACAAAGTACTCCTGGAAATCATGAAAATCATTTGGCCTAACAAAGGAGGGGAGAATACGATTAACAAATTTACTAGACAATTGAAAGTTAGTTAAAGACCCTGATAAAATTAAAGAATCTACCTGGGAAGACCAATGTTTGGGTCAAATCTCCGACTCTTATAGAAGTTGATCAGATGAAATAAGCCAGTCCAATCGGTGTCCTGATTGGACAATAGCAACATATAAATATGCACACCAATTAGCACTGTGACATAATCAAACGGTGACAGTGACAAGGAGAAATCATCATATATCAATATTAAACAAGACGCGAAGGGAAAATGAGATGTTGGCTGAGTAACCTGATCTGCTACATAAAAAGAAATTGAAACAGCATACATAGCGTATCAGCTTATGACAGAGTGAAACATGTGACACAAGAAACACACACCCATTCTCACTAAGACAGCCACAATAACCATTACCACGAGAAGTAGAAGACAGCTTGACCATGAATCATCTCAAACCATATTCATTTACTAATGTGAGAATAAACAATGAAATGTTTCCATTACTGAAAATTAAAGAGACATAAACAATCGACATGTCAGTACATAAAATTTGTACCTCGGATGTGGTAGTGGCCAGAGCATATGCAGCCTGAATACGGACTCTCCAGAAAGCCTAAACATAAAAGTAGAGGATACACAATAATAGATACGAGAAAAAACAATACATGCATGACAGCAAGTTGACGGTTGAAAAAGGACCTTGGAATCACTGAGAAAGTTAATCAGAGCATTAACCACAGAAAATGAATGCTGTGGCAGTGCTTCTAATACTGCTATGGCTTGCGCCTGAGCAACAACATCTTTGTCCCTCTCCAATTGATTGATCTACAAAGCATGTACAACAGCTTTAAGATTTCTTAGTTGATTTAAAATCACATAATGGAATTGCGTCATTTAATTTCTCCCATGGCAGGTAGCTGACTACAAGAAGTTGACTTCTTCAATTTCATCACTTGTTAATCATCAATGTTACATAACCAACATTTTCTTTAGGTATGGCATATCAATTTAAGTAATACTGGAGGCAGGTTAGAAATCATTATCAACAAAACAGACACACTGTTAAGGAATAATTTTCTGTTTCTTTTCTGGACAAAAGCACAAAAAGAGGTGAAAAACTTTAAGATAATTACTTAAACATCCTTAAATTGTTAAGTTTATTAATTGAAGCCATTAATTAAATCACTAATACGCTACGAATATCAAAATTGTTGTCTGTTGTCAATAGATGTTTACCTAATTAAAATATCATACAAATTCTATAGCAGACTTTCTCACACAAAATGAAAAAAATCAAGCTCTTTTCTTCACTGTACAATGAACACTTCTTATCCGAGTCCCGCACTCACCCACATTTGAACTGGTTGATTAAAATGTATTTCAGCAAGATATTCCATTTCAGGGTCCGCACGGAGCCACAGTAGGGGAGATTCAGAACTGCAACATCCTCCATATTAGCACTATATTTTTAGCAATAGGAAACAAACTTGGTAATAACAGAGTTCAAGAAACAAGCAAAACAGCAGTTCAGCTATAACAATACACATACTTTACTCGCACATCCGTGGTGACCACAGCATCACCGTTATCATCAGAGCCATCATTCTTGAAGCCCTTCTTTGGTTTTTGGAAGCGCTTTGCAGCAAGTTTTGAATGGCATTGAATTTCTAGCAGTTGCCATGGTTCACCAGCCATTGGTAAAATTGGATGATCATACATACCATCAAGCTCATGGACTCTTATACTCATCATTCCAGGCCAGCCAACACCACCTTCTGGGTTTTCAGAATCGGGATTGATATTATCAACACCGACCCAGGAATCAGGTCTAGACGTGCATCCCCGCAATGCAGCTAATTCTACCATATTTTTCCTTTTGTTATAGGAGAATCCCATCCTTAGTGGAACCAAGGGAAATTGAAAATGAAGGGTATCAGCAAGTTTACTCAACAGCACAAAATAGAATCAAATAGCAAGTTTCCAGCAATTAATCGTACTTCAAAACTGGACAGCCACAAGATCCAACCCAGCGAGGAAAAAACTCCTTTAGAAATGGGCGCTCGAGATTCCCAATTTTATTAGCAAAGTGTCGGAACTGCCAGCAAATAATTATCAATAATGGTGATCAAGAATAGTATCAATGTTGGACTAAGAGAATGATCCAGAATATGACTAATTTTGAGAAACAGTAAAGCTATTCAAAACGAAAAACAGTGAAACAGTATTGAAATATAGCTTGAAAGAACACTATTATTGTTTCACTGGACATGCAATCCAGCACAAAAACAATGAAATTTGTGACTTCTTCTGAATTGTTAGTGTAATTACTCTGAGACTGTTATAAATGGCGGATGACAGGCCATCGCAGAAAGCCAAAAACTGCCATATATCTATGGCGGATGGCATGCGGAAAATGGCGGACCCAAAAATATATAAAATATATATCGATATCCACATAACACCATAACACCTTAAAAAATTTTATATATATATATTTTTCAAAATGACACTAGTTTCATAAAATAGAACATATAATTATCATTCAACANAGACATTAAACCAAAAGCAATGATAAAAAGTGAATCAAACACAAATTATAAAGGCTGAAATAAAACTATATTAGTCTTAGAAGTTATCTCAACCTACACCTAGTGAGCAGTCATTATTTAGCTGCATAAATAATCTAATATAATTGTTGGTTAATTGATTATGATCTCTAATGAATCGCATTTGTTGTATATAAGCAAATATTTCAGACAAAAAAATTCTCCTTTTTTCTCTCTAAGCTGCAACTGACAATTCATTCATCCATCCAGGCCGAAAAGGAATAAGTAAGAAACAAAAAAGAAAAGAAACAGAAAACAATACAACATGCCAGATGTTGGGTTGCCTATTTTCAGTTCGCCAGAGAAACGGACGCCAAGTGTGGTGTTCTATTTCTCAATTTCGCTCGTTGTTTGAGTAGCTGGAATGTTAGGGTTTCTTTTGAATGAGAAACCCGACCCTCCTTTGTATCTTTTATGATTATTCTATTATTTTCTAATAGATCTGCACTTTTATTGGAAATTTTGGGCCCGGCCCAGTTGGGGTTTCCTCCCTAAATTGGCCAAAACCCCCACTATTTCCACCACAGCGCCATGGCTGCCATGGTCATAGAGAGCGCCATGGAGCCGTCAGTGGAAACCCACCAGAAGGCGGACACTAAATAGCGGCCAGGCTATTTCCTGCCATGGCCGCCAACAGAAATAATTCTGAGGTACATGCACAAAAGATAGAGTAAACATGTCTGATGAGAACCCCTGAAAGTAAAGGCAATATCTTTAAAAAGCATCAGGGAGATTTGGCTCTCTGTCCATTCTTATTTCAATCAATATACCGAGTGATGAAACATGGAAAGCACCAGTTGGCTATTGCATGAAGTAAAAGCCATCAAAAGATAACTTTTCATATACTAACATGATTAAGCAAAAGAATCAACAAAATGGATGAAAGTCAAGTAAGACAATCAGCCACTAAAGATGAATTCTATTGCGATTAAACAGGAAACATTATGTTCCCACAAACTAGCTCCGAGCATTGTTCATATGTTTCTTTCTTATTACTGCATTACCACACTACTCTGGATCAAATAATTTGAGTGAATACGCATTTACAATTCTAAAGTTCTAACTTGTGATTTCATTTCAAAACCACATTTTTGCATATTCCAGGGAAAAAATGGCATCCTAAACTAGAATGCTCCACAAGCTATTTATCTGTAATATTGTTGTAATTCAATATAGAAGAGCTAAATTGAAAGTGTATTCCTCCAGAAAGGTGGGACAATTACTCGATTTATTGAAGTAAGCCAATCAAATAAAAGACACTAAAATTCTTCACAAACCACTTGGTGATGCATTATAGGTTATAAACAATGGAATAACTGTGTAACCACATACTTCAATGAACACTTATTATAACCACAATCTTCTCTCTCAGATGAGACAATTCACAATCAAGGAATGCATCGGCCATAATATACAAAAAGGAAAGGCTACTGAGGTACCTCTTTGGTGCTTAGAGTTCTCAAGGAACGGTTTGGATCTCGAGCCCTCAGAACAATATTTTGTAGAATCTGAAGATGAAGAAGTTATCTATCATAAAAGCCATTACATAATGAAGGGCATAGATGACGGATAAAACAAAACCAACATCATTAACAATTTGAAAATACACACAAACTTAAGCTTATGAACATGAGAAAGACAAAGGAGGTTGTAGTACTAGCATATCAAGGACTCGTGACTGACAAGCTAAGCAGCAATTACGTAACTACCTAGCCAAGAGAAAAAGGATAAGAAGATTGTAAAGAAAAAAATTGAAGAATGTGAACAAACTCCCAAAACAATGTAAAAGGAACACATTATTCTTCTTATTGTGTGCTTAATTACGAAAGCGGTAAAGAAATGTGGTGGAAAATCTTGTCTAGAAGGTTTGGAAGGAGGTGAATGCCATGCCCAATTCTGGTGCCTAAATATGATAAACTATATCCAAAAGCAAGAAATTGTGAAGTCAAATCCGAATTAGCGAATGAGTGACCACTGTCTACTACTTGGAAAATGCTATTCTTCCATGTGGGTATTTTCATAAAGTAGCTTTACCCCAAAAAATTTGAAATCAATTGGAATGGTTATGCACCACATAAGCTAACGCCAATGTAGTTTGTGACTCCGCAAACATATTGCCAGAAATAGGAGGACTTATGGGGAAATTGACAATATGATACTCTGTCCGTGACTCGAATTACAGACTGAGATAAATATACACAGTCGAGTTAAAAACCAGTAAAAAGACGCGCATACATAAAAGTGATGCATAAGTACAAGGAAGCACTACAACACTGCTCATCCTTAATAGTGACAACAGCCAACAATTAGTGCAGATTTTATATAGAAGGGGAGTCGGGCTTCTCAAACTTACTTTACGAAAGGACTCAGGACCCATCTGCTTTTCCAACATTTGAAGGACAGCAATCTAATATATTCCAAAGTATGTTAGATCCAAGGTAGAAAGGTTGAAACATAGACTTAGTTTCACCAAGCGATATGAAAACTTACAGATTTCCATGATCTTATTTTTCCATAAAACCCAATACATTGGGTTCCATACAAATCTTTACAGGCAAGTTCAGAGCTCAAGGCTGTGGCACCACTATCATCTGCTTGGCAAACAGCGCAGTTAGACTGCAACAAAAGAAAAATGTAAGTCCCAGTTAACAGCAACCAGATCTTTATCAATAGAAAATTTTCATTACAAGTGATCTGGTAAATAGATATACAATCTGAAGAGTGAATCAAAAGTGAATGTCGCTACAAGTTTTTCACATGAATGGAGCTCAAATTATTCATAAAATAATACAACATCCAAATGTAGCTAGACTCGCCAAACTTTGCATCTTTTGAAGAGAAATGCTATAGGTACATAATAGTGACACAGAGGTGTACATAACACTGACATTAAGTGGGTCCTACCAAAAATAAAAAATCAAGTGGACCCCACTCCATGTGAGTGTTATGTACATCTCTATGTACATTTATTATGTACTTGTAGCATTTTTCTCTTTTGAATTTGAACTTCACACAAAAAGTATAAATTTAATAATTCAATACCATGTTTAATTATTTACAATTAATTGGATCTAAATGAAGAAAAAGGGTGTTGTACCACTACAGCGATAAAGACAAGTACTCCATTGTTGATATTAGCCAAATACAAGCTCAGATAAGGCTAAGATAGGAAGCTCTGCAATAAATAAAAACTCTGACGTGTTGAAAAAAACAAAGCAAACCTTATATCTTCTATAACGTGCTTCATTGTTTCCCAGGAACCTCTTGATATAAGAATCGGTAAGAAACCCAGCAAGACCATCCAACAACCATTCTGACAGAAAGTATTAACGCAGCAATATAGGTTGAGATTCTTATAATATTACTAGTGCGATTATAAAAATAAGGATATTACCATCAGTTGGAGCTTCAGGAGTGATATATACTCCAAACCACTGTCTGGCAAGGGCATAAGCAAGTCGAATTCTTGTCTCTATATTCTGCTTAGTGAAGCCATCCCCAAGAAGAAAAAAAATAGAAGTGAAAATAAGAGGGGAAACTTTAAGATGATATGGATCGAAAGTTCCAATATTAAAAGCAAAATGTAAATCGTAGCCCGCAGATGATGCAGCTAGAAAACAAACTTCTATAAACCAACCTGATCAATGATCTTCTCATCAAACAGCAGGTGAGAGCTGAAAATACTTATAGAAGATCCCAAACTCCAGGAGGATAATGTCATCTCAGGAGCGAGAAAAACTTGCATGTATGATCCAAATGGAAACGAGGAAGAGAGGTAATCCTCATAGTGGCTGTTAAGTATTACATGATTAATAATGAAGGGGGAAGTAAAATCCAAGCGCGCTAAATACATAACTCATCCTCACAAGGGCTAATTCAAAACCTGGCCATAAAACCAGCTTTTCCAGACCTCTAGTCATACTAATAAGGAGCCACGTCTGAGACAGGATAACATCAATATCAGAAAATTACCTGAAAGCATTATGGAAAAACACCATTGTATTTCGCAACTTTGACAGGTTAGGCGGTAGACAGAAGTGCGACAGCAGACCGCCATGTCGATCCGGAAGGATTTCAAATGGAGCAACTGCTAGAGCTATCCAGTGAGCAGCAACAGGAACATCTAATTTGTAAACATATGTCTTCCGTGGGGGGTCATCCTTGGTCAAAACCTGCAAAAAAGGATCTTTAGTACAAATCAACATAAAGGAAATAAATGTGGTGGCATATGTTGCAAGTGTTCTCAAACAGCAAAGTGAATAAAAATTGAATATGAAAATCCATAGCAACCATAAATTATTACTAATCATGCTTACAAACAACTTTCTAATTATATTACAATACATTCTAGTAACATCTTGCTAGACATTTACAACATTAAAATATTATATATACATCTCACCTGATGAAGTAAAGTTCCAGAGCTAACTGCCACAAAGTTACTGTCCACAGTAAATTCCAAGTCATAGCTGAGCAGCAAACATAACAATAATTATGAGCATCACAATCCTATGTTGCTGAAATGCTTAAAGCTAGAAACTAGCCTTGTACATACCAGCAACACTGTGAATTGTCATCCAGGCAAGGAAACCAGCACCGTGCACGCCTCAACTGGTTATCCGTATGCAAGACATTGTCACTAAAATGAATTCCAGTTCCTGTCTTCTCTACCCAATACTCGATGCGTACATTTTTCACATTCTGTACTTCCCTACTTGAAAATAACATACTATTAAACCACATAACTATCCCAGCTACAGGTAAAATGTAAATATTATTGAGCAAGCTATGTGGCCAACAAGGAACATAAGTCTTACTAGTAAGACTCACAGTATGACTCTATTTCATAGGCGTTAGTTTATACTAAACTTAAAAGGTTATTAGGGCAGTTATTGAATGGCTGTTCAACAAAGAACACAAGTCTTCCTCGTAAGATTCACATTATGACTCTGTTGCATAGGCAAGTTAGTTTTTACTAAACTTAAAAGGCTATTAGGGCAGTTATTGAACAGCCAACAGACTTTTCAAATCTCACTGATTTTTCACTCCAGGATAACCAATATGTGTTGATGTGGTGCAACACATGAACAACACTAAGCACCAACTGAATTTAGACAAATGAACACTTCACAACAAACATGATATGTACATGTCTAGATAACCCAAATGTAGAGATGTCTTCATTTTCACTAACTCAAATACGCAAGCTTTGCATGATCACTTTTGTCCAATAAGAAATGACTAACATTATTTAGTCGAAAATATCAGACTGAAGTAGCCAGGACACTACTTGCGGCAACTATGTCTCTTATTAACTAATACCAGCTAAGAGATGGTTCCACTAGTAATAAGTTGAAGATATTCTGCAAATGTTGAACCCACAAAACTTATTGGCGGGAAGAGAAGAGTACTATTAATTTACTTGTAGAAATGTTTCTTCATAAATTAACGACAATGAGCTCGTTATCCATTTAGAGCCCATCAAAAAATGAAAATAAAACTAAAAACAATCTGCAATTTGGGGTTTTGAATAAGAATTTCATAATTTTTACTGTGTATATTACACTTGTTAAACAACTCAACTTCTCCACAGCATCTGAAACAAAGTTAATATAACAGAAACGAATTCACATAAATTATATTACAATGAAACTCATTTTTTTCATATGGATACAACAATTCTATTTACAGGATATTCAGTCGGCTGCAAGAGCACACACTAGAGTTGTGTCGACATGGCATAGATAAATTAAGAAACTACATGCGAAAAAATAAATTTAAATTTACAAAAGATACTTCATATTCTGACACTACGTAGAAACATGCATAAAATCATGCAATTGTCTGAAGCACGAACTTGAACTTCAGACCTGAGACAAAACAAAATTCTCACCACAGCTCAACCATGTAAAATCTAAGCAACACATAAATAACCATTTAAAAACCTGCTAACATCAGCAGATAATGGTTCCCCATCATCCATCTGCATGCTTTCTTCTTGCTTGTCGTCTGTTTTACTGGTCTTGCTACACATTATTAGCAAATTCGGTAGTAAATCAATCTCGAGGGATGACAAATACACAGACCCGGAAGCATCAGCAGCTGAAGTGGCTGAGGAAACAACACACCATCTATCCTTTGGGTCCAGATACTGATAATGAGGGAAGACTTCAAATTCTGCTGGGTCCCCGTCAACGGTAACCTTCTCAATTGCCAAATTATCCGCATGCAAGCCCACAATTCCATTGTCGGGTATAACTATACGTAGTTCTGTATACCTGAAGTAGCACATGCTAAAGCAAATAAGCAAATTTGTTTCTACAATACTTTTTTTGTTTGATGTATCATTTTCCTTTTAACGAGAAGACTACTAAACAGCCCCCC